GGAGCCAGGTTCTCCTCCCACCTAGCCCCGCTCAGCTCCTGTGACAGGCGGCGAGTCAGGATGCCGAGAGGTGTAGAGGAGGAGTGAGCTGTCAGATGGCTGATGCATGTGGAATGCATGTGGAACCCATCTTATTTAAACCCTAGATATCTAAGGTCTGCTGTACTTTTTGCTATTGATATGTGTAGGTTCACCATGCCAAGACTAAATTAGGTCTCTGCAGCTAAAATAAATCTCCAAGAACCCCAAAATGTAAGTGCAGTATCTGCAGGTAACTCTTGCAACACTTGGTGTCAAAGTGCATGCATTTACAATCAAAGAGTGCAACAATTTAACCTGCATGGGAAACATGCCAAGAAAAAGCCTTTGCTGTCCATAAAAAGCATTACAACAAAACTACAGTTTGCAATTGAGCATATAGGCAAAGACCTTCTGGTACAATGTGCTCTGGACTGATAAATCAAAGATAGAGTTGACTGGCCACAGTAACAATAGAAATATTTGGTGCAATTGTAAAGCACAGTGTTGGAATTGTTATGGTTTGGGGTTGCTTTCCTGATACAGGTCCTGGGCAGTTTGCAGTCATCGACTCAACTATGAATACTGAATCATGAGGACATTTGTCCAAAAGTTAAAGATGAACCACAAATGGATCTTTCAACATGGAAAAGATCCAAAGCAAACCAGCAAATACACAAATAAAAAGCTCAAAAACAAGAAATGAAGGGCCGTTGACAGCATTAGTCAAAGCCATTATTAAAATCTCATTTAAATGTTGAGGGGGAATTTAAAATGGGCAGTTCATGCAAGTAAACACACAAACATATTACCATTGAAGGAATTTTGCATGGAGGAGTGGTCAAAAATTCCAGTCAGCATCAGAGACTAGTGGGCAGTTTTACAAAATGTCTACAAAAAATAACTTCTGCTAAAGGGGGCAATACTAGCATATTAGGCTAAGGGTGTACTTACATTTCACAGAATACCATTACATCTATTGGTTTTTTTGGTGAATAAATTATTAAAAATCTGTAGGCATTGTTTAAATAAAGTCTAATGTTTAACTGCTGAATTGCACAGTACAATCTGCAATGTTGTTGCTCTTTAACAGAAACCATTTCAATAACTGGCAAGTTGCAGATGTTCATATGGCATTCCATTGTTTCTCTCTATTGGATGTATAAGCAAGAGGGTTTGTCCTGTATGAATGAATACCTGAATGTGCCGAGCGACAACAATGAACAAAACAAAAAAACAATAAAAGAATCTGTGACTCATAAACAAATGTCAGTGAATAAATCAATCAGATGTAAAGTCTGTAAATGTTCATAACTCTGAAGATATGTCCATATACAAACAGCAATAGTGATGACTATTTCTTCTTCCTTCACCAAATGCACCACGTGGCACATTCAGTTATTAATGTTTTCACGTATACACACTCACAGTGCGTGTACATTCCAGTGCCATGTAGCTGTTAGCTTGCTTATTGGTGCAGTTAATATATATATATATA